GTTGCAATTGGAATCAATATTGGCATCTCTCAATGTAGTGTGGCAGTTTGGAACTGCTTTGAGGTGGAGCTCCTCAGCAATAATCAAGACCTGAAGATGAAATCATTTGTTTCGTTTAAAGATAAGAATCATTCTAAAAGTGGTGTAACCAGTCCACTAGCTAACGAGGACGAATTGTTTTCTGGCTCTGTCATTTACAATATCAAACGTCTACTTTGTATACCTGACACAGACCCTGCAGTTCATCAGAGCAAATATCCATTTTTAATGCAGTCACTAAATACGGGTGACATGCCACTTATTGCTCCCTTAAGTGATCGATGTGGATTTATTCTCAAGTATAGTGCCCGAGTAGTAAATACACTGTATTCTTGTTCCCGTCTCCAATTACCACTTAGCATATCTCCGTCGGCGATTTGAGAGAAATTGACTGGTGAGATTTTGTTTTGAGGCGACGCCGAGAGTAAAGGATGGAGAGAGTGAAGGCGATTTGGGTCTTAGGGTTTTTTTTTCAATTTAACGTCGTTTTTTTTTTAAATTTATCGGGTCGGTTTAGATTGGGTTTGGGTTCTTAATCCATGACCCGACTACCTAACCCAATACCCGAAATCCACCCAAAAAAGGCAAAAAACCGATCCAAACCGGTCGGTTTGGGTCGGGCTGGGCGGTTTAGTTGGGTTGGTTTGAGTTTTGCCCACTCCTAAGTCCTAACCATAACTGTGGGACAACTTTTCAGCCCACAGACCATGGCCACCATCAAAATTTGGCATCCTTACTTACATAGGAAAACTTTCGAGGGTAACATTCGTGTAAACTTTCACCGCATTCGAAACATCCACGACGATGCACACATGAATAAAAGGATAATGAGGACCTGCATGTTGGAGCGAAGGGAACCCGACAATCATAAAATCCCTCATCAAATGATTTTTTTTTAGCATTTTTCTCGTAGACAATTATCTGTGTTTTTTCTTCGTTAGTTTGATATATTGTGAATGACATGGTTTCTCTTGCTAATAACTTGTTATTTCTGGGAATAATAGGAAAAATCTTGTTTTCTGCATGAATTTCAATGCTCATTAGAGTAGCTTCAATCCTTGATAAGTGCAAATTTTCGATACTAGAAGCAATTGCACCTTCCAGTGCTACTCCTTGGACTGCATCCTCTAGCGGGTTTATTCACAAGTATAGTGTCTTGTCACATATCTTCGTAACAATTTCCTGTATTGCTGGAATTTTTGAGCAACCATCAACAGATATTTAGTTTGCCAACTTTTATCTTTGCATCATATAAGCATTCTAAGATTAGATCCTCGCATTGGGTTTAGCTGGAGCTACCTTAGGATAAGGAAGAAATAATTTAAAATACGACGCGTCACCTCTTTCACTCAATGAGTATGTTCTCTACAGATTTTCGAAGAATAAGAAATACGAGGTTGCTTCGAGCTGCGACTCGTGATGCGATCTACAATCTGCCGGACCAATCTAGTGTTGAGATTAAGGTTGGCCTATGCCGTGGGAAAAAAATGCTTAAAGGTCCTTGAGAGAGAATTTTGAAGATGTAAACCATGGTGTGTTTA